AACTTTCTTTACAATTCAAAAAAAATATTTTACAATGACATCTGATGTGCAACCACAAGTAGATGGCCTTCAAAGTTCCACCATTTTTCGGCAATATGATGCACAACAACATTGGGGACTGCATGTTCGGGGGTTCCTAAATAAAAGATTTCCAGACCGGTTGATTGGAAAGGATGGTCCAATTCCCTGGCCACCTTCTACAACAGATATCACTCCCCTGGACTTCTTTCTATGGAGTTATGTGAAAGGTATGCTGCATCGAACAAAGATATGGGACATCACTGATCACTAATGCTACCATTGATGAAACTATGCAACAAGCGAACATTGTCCAACTCGTGTAACAGCAAAATTGTCCAACTCGTGTAACAGCAAAATTGTCCAAATCGTGTAACAGCAAAATTGTCCATTTGTTAGATTAAGCTCTGAACCGTTGTATCTTAGAAATGATTAAAAGATATATTACTGGAATTCTCCGAAGTTTTTTTTTTATAACATGATTCGACTCTGCTTTGAACAATAAGAACGTATAATGACTCCCCGAACTTAAAAGAAATATCGCGATGAAATCGACCATAAACGAAAATGACATGTTCCTCATTAATTAATCATTAAGCTGAGGATCGGAAACTCATGAAGGATTGAAATAAAGATTCGCCCTCTCTAAATTTCTAACTTTCTGTCCAGGTGTAACAAGGTGCATTATACGTCTTAAGTACGATTTCATTTTCAAGTCTTTTTTCACTACCCATTGGGCTGTCATAGCTGAAACTCCTCTCTCACGTGCCAAACGTCTTATAAATTGAGTTGGATCTTTTCTAATTGATCTCTTTAGCTCAAAGTTGAAATGATGATCCCACTTCCTGTTGTGACCTTCTGATCCAGTTTTCCTCTCTACTGTTCCCGCTTTTTTAAACTTATTTACCGTTCTCTTGATGGTTCTTGAATGGACTTTGAAGATGGAACCCAAAGTATGACTGTTGGTACCATTACTGAAGACGTGAATGATCTTTTCCTCTCATCATTGCTCAGTTGAAAAAACAGTAGGGATGACACAAAACGATTTTAACCCGCTCTCTTTCAAATTAAATAACTGAAATGGTTTTTCAGTGATTCTTACGACGAATAGTGTCAAGATGGCTAAATGTTTTATCTGAAAACCTGGTAAAAGAAACTCATTTTTTCCCTCGAGAGAAGGGGTTTTCTTTTCTTTTAGTGTTAAAGACACAATGCGTATGGTCTGCATTGGCTATTTTTATTGTCCCCAACGTATACGGTCCCTATTGGCTATTTTTATTCTCTGCCGACTAAATGAAAGTTTCAGGACCGCGTGTTTACTTTTAACCCCTTCCACAGCGTAGACATGTATATACGTCTTTTAAGCGAAAGTGTATTTTTCAGACACATTGTCAAATTGTCAGCTCGTGCATCTGGTAGAGGTGTTAGTCATCGCTAGGGTACTTTCAGGTGCCTCGGTTTCTTAGTTAATATATTAATAACAAATTTTAAAAAAATCGTCTGAATATGAAACTTTTTTTTATTTTGGCGGGAAAGTGTTAAGTAACAGAATACCCAGCATTGACCGGGGATTTATTTCAAGGAAAGAATTGGCCCGGAAGGGCACGGATTTGACAATCATTGTGCCAGACGTGTGAGGTGTTGATTTGGTGGTTAACACGTCGTCATGTTCTCATGAGATGTGTTTTTAAAAAGGTCAACGTCTCAATGTTCACATGAGATGAGTTTAAGCACCTGCTAATGATCCAAAAACTAAACAGAATATGAAGCAACAGAAACAATGAAAAGAGTACTGAACTGTGACGTAATATCAGTCCTCCTATATGGCAGTGAATGCTGGACAATATCCTCACAGATGAAGAAGAGACTTGAAATAACAGAAACAATGAAAAGAGTACTGAACTGTGACGTAATATCAGTCCTCCTATATGGCAGTAAATGCTGGACAATCTCCTCACAGATGAAGAAGAGACTTGAAGTAACAGAAACAAAGAAAAGAGTACTGAACTGTTACGTAATATCAGTCCTCCTATATGGCAGTGAATGCTGGACAATCTCCTCACAGATGAAGAAGAGACTTCAAGGAACAGAAACAAAGAAAAGAGTACTGAACTGTTATGTAATATCAGTCCTCCTATATGGCAGTGAATGCTGGACAATCTCCTCACAGATGAAGAAGAGACTTGAAGTAACAGAAACAAAGAAAAGAGTACTGAACTGTTATGTAATATCAGTCCTCCTATATGGCAGTGAATGCTGGACAATCTCCTCACAGATGAAGAAGAGACTTGAAGTAACAGAAACAAAGAAAAGAGTACTGAACAGTTATGTAATATCAGTCCTACTATATGGCAGTGAATGCTGGACAATCTCCTCACAGATGAAGAAGAGACTTGAAGTAACAGAAACAAAGAAAAGAGTACTGAACAGTTATGTAATATCTGTCCTCCTATATGGCAGTGAATGCTGGACAATCTCCTCACAGATGAAGAAGAGACTTGAAATAACAGAAACAAAGAAAAGAGTACTGAACAGTTACGTAATATCTGTCCTCCTTTATGGCAGTGAATGCTGGACAATCTTCTCACAGATGAAGAAGAGACTTGAAATAACAGAAACAAAGAAAGAGTACTGAACTGTTACATAATATCAGTCCTCCTTTATGGCAATGAATGCTGGACAATCTCCTCACAGATGAAGAAGACTTGAAGAAACATATATATATATATATATATATATATATATATATATATATATATATATATATATATATATATATATATATTTATTTAAAAAATATGAGCCGAAAACTTCAAGTTTTCGGCTCTTGTTTTGAAACATGAGAACTCTCATGTAGGTTGTTGGAATCATATTTTAAATAAATAATTATATTTATGCTCTACTTTTGTATCGAGCACTATTTTAAAAAAAATACTAACAAAAATGCTAAAGAACTTTTGATTATGTACCTAACAAGTTCTTTTTCCTATTTTCTATATATTTTACACACACACACACACACACACACACACACACACACACACACACATATATATATATATATATATATATATATATATATATATATATATATATATATATATATACGACATTTAAATGTAACTGAATAATGTGCTGCAAATTCAATATATATATATATATATATATATATATATATATATATATATATATATAATAGATGTATTCTTATATGTGCCGTGTCCCTTCAGGACTTAGGCGATCATGTCTCTCCACTTCCCTCTATTCCGTGTAGCTCTCTAGAAGTTTCTTCCCTCTGCCATCTCCCCCAGACCACGTTCTGTCATCCACTTACTTACGTCCACCAGGTTGTCACGCGTTGTTTTCCCTTGTCTCTCTTCCCCTCTATTCGACCCGTGAGTATCAGATTCTCCACGTCCTCCTTCCTCATTACGTGACCCAGAAACTTCAGCTGTCTCTTGACCTCATCGTTGCTCACACGCTCGGTCCATGACATCCTTATCATCCTACTGTAGATCCATACCTACGATCACTTGAGGGGTCGTATTATACTCAATGATGTAATTTATTCCCTGTTGTTAGTTTCAGGAACACGTGATCGTATTATACACAAGGAAAGACGGTAATATATAAATATATATATATATATTGTGTGTGTGTGTATTTAGGCAGCATTTTTTCATTGATGCATGTTTCATTAAATAATATAGACAAGTGTTGTCTGTTTATTTTATGTAAATTCTTTTCATATCGTTTGATAAGTTTAATAACATTATCATTAAACATTATTAACATTATCATTAAAAGGCGAAAGAAAATCACCATATTGATACATGTTTTTAATCCTATCTAAGCTTTCGGCTTCCATAAGCCATCATCAGAGATAACAAGTACATTACAATAAATTAAAAAGTATACAAACATAGCAACAATGATAGTCTGTTTTGTTTACATGGGAGATTTCCAAGCAACGACCAACTCGTGCATACGAGACGCTGGAAGCGAAAATTTGTGTGTGTGTGTGTGTATATATATATATATATATATATATATTCACATATACCTATGTTTGTAGTGCAACTTAAAGTTTCATGGTTTCCCAAGTTGTAAGGCACAAATGTTAAATAAGCATTACAAACGTATGTATATGTATTTATTAATATATATATATATATATATATTTTCATAGTTCTGCTTAACTATACTATTAATATACACTTCACATATCTGCTTATATATATATATATATATATATATATATATATATATATATATATATATGAAAATGGATTAAGTTCGACAATTATTTAATACATTTTATGCTTATACATTATTTTTAATAGATACAATTTATTTAAGTAAAAGCACTCTTTTTAAATAAGCAGTATTGATTACATTTACAGGCTTGAATATCCGAGTGATGTCGTAGAAAATATTCGTTCAACGACAGGAATCGAACCAGCGTCTCATACCGAAGCGTCACTTGATCTAAGGGGCGATACCACTCAGCTACAGAGAAAGCGTCTGGTTAGTAAAGTTCAATTACTGTTTATAAACAAGAAATTATTAAAAAAAAATACAGAGCAGCTCATCAGTGCAACTTGACATGTGACTGCTTCAAACCGAGATCCTCACTCATAGAACCCAATCGATTCGATACCATATCATATATATATACTCTCTCTCTCTCTATATATATAACATCAGCGCAGAACATATATATATATATATATATATATATATATATATATATATATATATATATAAATAAGTATATATATATATATATATACATATATATATATACGACTAATATCTCTTTCAAATCAAGTGATAACAAAATATATATATATTTATTTGCCTTGCTTCACTGTGTACTGCGCAGATCAAAGCCACGTTGAAGTCTCGAGGCAGCGAGACGAGATTTCATGGAGGCAAAACAAGGAGATAAAGAAATGCTGGTAGACATTGGCAAATTTGAAATGTCTCCTGGAATATCTTTTGTTTTTGAATTCAACTTAAAAAAAAAAAAAAGGCAGTTTATTGCAATTTTCTTTGACGTCAGTTTTCTTTAGTTTTTTTTTTAAATTCTTTTTTTGTTGTTTAGATCATCTTACGTCGTATCTTCGTTTCTTCACTTTTCGACTTATTTATGATGGGGTTGAAAAATTCTTTCACTGCTTTTGATTTCTTTGAGTCTTGTGTACCTTTGATTTGTTTTATACTTTCGCTAGTTTTCAATTCTGTTCCATTTTAGTTTCTCAACCTTTACTCTTATTCTCGCCTTTGATTAATTTCTCTCTTTTGTTATTCTTATTTTTTTCTTTTCTGTTTGCAACATTTTTGTTCTTTAACAAATTCTTTCTTTCTTTGTTCTTTCAATTCTTTTTCTTATTTCATTTTAGACTTTTTTTCTTTTTCTTTCTTTCAACTTTCAAATATCGGAACTTTTCTTAGGATTCTGTTTCTTCTTTTCTTTCTTTCCTGAAAAATCTTTCTTTCTTTTTTCTTTTCCTTCCTTCTTTCTTTATTTGTTTTTTCCTTTTTATTTTCCTTCTTTGCCTTTCTTTCTTTCTTTCTTTCTTTCTTTCTTTCTTTCTTTCCCTCCTTCGTCTTCTTTTTTATTTTTTTTTTTCCTTTTACGAGATCAAATGCCCGTTTTCTTTCTTTCTTTCTTTCTTTCTTTCAGCTTTCTTTCGAGATTTCATTTCTTTTCAAAACAAGGTCTTAAAAAAATGCTGGTAGACTTTTCTTAGCAAATTTTTTTCTTTCTTCCTGGAATATCTTTTCTTTTTTCCTTCAACTTAAAAAAAAAAAAAAAAGGACCTTTCGTCTTTTCTTAGTATTTTATATTGCAATTTTTCTTTGTTTTTTTTTTTTTTAACGTTCGTCTTCTTTATTTGTTTTTTTCCTTTTGCGACCTTTCGTTTTTAGCATTTTATATTTTTTTTTTCTTTCTTTTTTTTTCTTTTTCTTTCTTTCTTTCTTTCCTTTCGTTGTTTTTTCCTTTTGCGATCATCTTTCGTCGTTCTTTCTTCGTTTCTTCACTTTTCCCTCTTATTTTATGGGGTTGAAAAATTTCTTTCACTTTCTTTTTTCTTTCTTTCTTTTCTTTGAGTCTTTCGTGTTTGTTTTCCTTTGTCTTTGTTTTTATACTTTTTCGCTCTTTTTTTCTTTCAATTTTCTTTCTTTCTTTCTTTTCCCTCCTTCGTCTTCTTTATTTGTTTTTTCCATTTTCGTCTTTTCTCATTATATGCCTTTCTTTCTTTTATTTCTCGCCTTTGATTAATTTCTTTATTTTTTTTCCTTTTGCGACCTTTCGTCTTCCCTTCTTAGTTTATTCTTATTTTTTCTTTCTTTTCTTTTTTTTTCTTTCTTTCTTTCTTTTCTTTCCTTTTGTTTTATTTGTTTTTCCTTTTTTTCTTCCCTTCTTAGCACTTTTCTTTCTTTTTCTTTCTTTCTTTTCTTTTTCTTTCTTTCTTTCTCTCCCTTTTCTTTATTTGTTTTTTTCCTTTTGCTTTTCATTTTTTTATATGACTTTCTTTCTTTTTTTCTTTCTTTCTTTCTTTCTTTTCTTTTTTTCTTTCTTTTTTTCCTTTTGCGACCTTTCTTCCTTCTTAGCATATTATTTTTTCTTTTTTTTTCTTTCTTTCTTCTTTCTTTCCCTTCGTCTTTTTATTTGTTTTTTCTTTTCGTTTCCCTTCTTAGCATTTTATATTTCTTTCTTTTTTCTTTCTTTTTCTTTTTTCTTTCTTTTTTCTTTTTTCTTTTCCCTTCTTTTCTTTATTTTTTTTTCCTTTTGCGACCTTTCGTCTTCCCTTCTTAGCATTTTATATGCTTTTTCTTTCTTTCTTTTTTCTTTTCTTTCTTTCTTTCTTTCTTTCTTTCTTTCTTTCTTTTTTTTTTTGCCCTTTTCTTCCTCTTCTTTATGCTTTTTCTTTCTTTGCGACCTTTTTAGCCTTTTATTTCGTCTTCCCTTTTAGTTTCCCTTTCTTTCTTTCTTTCTTTCATTTATTTTCTTTCTTCCCTCCTTCGTCTTCTTTTATTTGTTTTTTTCTTTTTTGACCTTTTCTTTCCTTCTTTTTTTATTTCCTTTTTTCTTTCTTTCTTTCTTTCTTTCTTTTTTTTCTTCTTTATTTGTTTTTTTCCTTTTTGCCCTTTCGTCTTCCCTTCTTAGCATCTTCTTTCTTTTTCTTTTTTTTCTTTTCCTTTCTTTCTTTTCCTTTCGTCTTCTTTATTTCCTTTTGCGACCTTTCGTCTTCCTTCTTTTTATATGCTTCCCTTTCTTTCTTTCTTTCTTTCTTTCTTTCTTTCTTTCTTTCTTTCTTTCTTTTCCCTCCTCTTTCTTTTTTTTTTTTTGCGACCTTTCGTCTTCCTTCTTTATTTGTTTTTTTTCTTTCCTTTCTTTCTTTTCTTTCGTCTTCCCTTCTTAGCATTTTTTTTTAAATGCTTCCCTTTCTTTCTTTCTTTTTCTTTCTTTCTTTTTTTCTTTCTTTCTTTCTTTCTTTCTTTTCCCTCCCTTCGTCTTCTTTATTTGTTTTTTTTTTCCTTTTGCGACCTTTCGTCTTCCCTTCTTAGCATTTTATATTTCTTTTCTTTCTTTCTTTCTTTCTTTTTTCTTTCTTTCTTTCTTTCTTTTTTGTCTTTCTTTTCCCCTTTCATTTCTTTCTTTCTTTCCCTTTCCTTTCTTCCCTCCTTCGTCTTCTTTGTTTTTTTTCCTTTTGCGACCTTTCGTCTTCCCTTCTTAGCATTTTTTTATTTCTTCCTTTCTTTCTTTCTTTCTTTCTTTCTTTCTTTCTTTCTTTCTTTCTTTTTTTTTCCTCCTTCGTCTTCTTTATTTGTTTTTTTTTTTTTTGCGACCTTTCGTCTTCCTTCTTAGCATTTTTTTATTCTTAGCATTTATTTTTCTTCCTTCTTTATTTGTTTTTTCCTTTTGCGACCTTTTTTCCTTCTTAGCTTTTTATTTCTTTTTTTCTTTCTTTCTTTCTTTCTTTCTTTCTTTCTTTCCCTCCTTCCTTCTTTTGTTTTTTTTTCTTTTGCTTCTTTGTTTTTTCCTTTTGCGACCTTTCGTCTTCCCTTCTTTCATTTTATTTATTTCTTCCTTTTCTTTCTTTCTTTCTTTCTTTTGCTTTCTTTCTTTCTTTCTTTCTTTTCTTTCCTTTTTCCCTTCCTTTCTTCTTTCTTTTCATTTCCTTCCTTTCTTTCTTTCTTTCTTTTTTCTTTCCTTTCGTCTTCCTTTCGTCTTCCTTCTTAGCATTTTATATGCTTCCCTTTCTTTCTTTCTTTCTTTCTTTCTTTCTTTCTTTCTTTCTTTCTTTCTTCTTTATTTGTTTTTTTTCTTTTGCGACCTTTCTTAGCATGCCCTTTTTCCATTTTCTTTCTTTCTTTCTTTCTTTCTTTCTTTTTTTCCCTTTCGTCTTCTTTATTTGTTTTTTCCTTTTTGCGACCTTTCGTCTTAGGAACTTAGCATTTTATATCTTTTCTTTTTTCTTTCTTTCTTTCTTTCTTTTTTCTTTCTTTTCTTTTTTCCTCCTTTCTTCTTTGTTTTTTTCCTTTGCGACCTTTCTTTTCCCTTCTTAGCATTTTATATGCTTCCCTTTCTTTCTTTCTTTTTTTCTTTTTTTTCTTTCTTTCTTTCTTTTTTCCCTCTTCGTCTTTTTGTTTTTCCTTTTTGCGACCTTTCGTCTTCCCTTCTTAGCTTCTATCCATTTCTTTCTTTCTTTCTTTTTCTTTCTTTCTTTCTTTTCTTTCCTTCTTTTCCCTTTCTTCTTCTTTATTTCCTTTTACCTTTCGTCTTCCTTCTTAGCATTTATTCTTCCCTTTCTTCTTTCTTTCTTTCTTTCTTTCTTTCTTTCTTTTCTTTTTTTCCCTCCTTCGTTTCTTTATTTTTTTTTCCCTTTTCTTTTTCTCCTGCCTTTATTTCTTTTTTTTTTTCTTTCTTTCTTTCTTTCTTTCTTTCTTTCTTTCTTTCCTTTCTTTTTGTTTTTTTTCCTTTTGGACCTTTCTTCCTTCTTAGCATTTTATATGCTTCCTTCCTTCTTTCTTTCTTCTTTCTTTCTTTTCTTTTTCTTTTCCTCCCTTCGTCCTTGTTTTTTTTCTTTTGCGACCTTTTCTTCTTAGCATTTTATATGATTCCTTTCTTTTAAAAATTTTTCCTTTCTTTCTTTCTTTCTTTCTTTCTTTCTTTTCCCTTTTCTTTCTTTTTGTTTTTTCCTTTTGCGACCTTTCGTCTTTCCCTTCTTAGCATTTTATATGCTTCCCTTTCTTTCTTTCTTTCTTTCTTTCTTTTTTCTTTCTTTCTTTCTTTCTTTTTTCTTTCCTTCTTTTATTTGTTTTTTCCTTTCTTTTTGTCTTCCCTTCTTAGCTTTATATGCTCCCTTTCTTTTTCAGTTTTCTTTCTTTCTGTCTTTCTTTTTCTTTCTTTCTTTTTCTTTTCCCTTTCGTTTTTTTTTTTTTCTTTCTTTTTTTTCTTTCTTTTTTTCTTTCTTTCTTCTTTCGACCTTTCTTTCTTTCTTTCTCATCTTTTTCTTTGTTTGTTTTTTTTTTCTTTCTTCCATTTTGTCTTTTCCTGACTTTTCTTCCATTTTTCCTTCTTTCCTTCTTCTTTCCTTCCTTCCTTTCCTTCCTTCTTTCCTTTTCCCTCCTTTCTTTCTTTCTTTCTTTCTTTTATTCCTTCCTTCCTTCCTTCCTTCCTTCTTTGTTCTCCTTTCCTTTTCCCCTCCTTTCTCTCTTCTTTTTCTTTCTTTCTTTCTTTTTTCTTTCTTTTCTTTCTTTTTTTGTTATTCTTTCTTTTTTTGCTTTCTTTTCCATTTGTTTGCTTCTCTCATTTTAGATATTTCCTTTCTTTTCTTTCTCTAGTTTAATACTTTTATTTCTTTCTTTCTTTTTCTTTCATCTTTTTGTTACAGGTTCCATTTTTAGACTTTTCCTTCTTTCTTTTCTTTCTTTCTTTCTTTCTTTTTTCTTTCATTTTTTATTTTTTTCTCGTCTTTTGTTTCGTCTAGTTTCTTTTTTTTTTTTTTTTTTTCCTTTTCTTTTTTTTTCTTTCTTTCTTTCTTTCTTTTCTTTCTTTCTTTCTTTTCTTTCTTTCTTTTCTTTTTCTCGTTTTGACTTCCTCTTTCTTTAATATTTTTTTGCTCAGACTCCTGATCGGTAATATTTTTTTTACCTGATCTCAAAAAAGATTATGCTGCGCCAATTTACACTTTCCTATATATACTCGAAAAAAAAAATACCAAGAATTTATGTAGCGGCATTCAAAGGCCACATTAATATTGATATGAACCCGGCCTAGATCAGGGGGTCTCCAATATTCGGCACACCTACAACATCCGGTCCGTAACCACTTTGAATACTCATATTAATTGCCTGTTTTTCTATATGTGTCCGTTAAATAATTGATTATTATCTTAGAGCAGTTCCTAATGTTTGACATTTTTAATCGTTACATACGGTTTCTCGGTGCGGAATTATGTGTTTTGTAATCGCATTCAACTATATCTATAATTCTCAAAATGTGTGTCTGTCTGTCTGTGTGATCGGATGTTGTTTATGTGTTTCTACAGTTTTCATCTGATTTCGATGAATTTTTTTTTGTTTGATAGATAATTCTTCAGTGCCAGTTTTGAGTCCAAATTCTTGGCAACAATGGCTCTCCACTACTTCCTGTCCATTATAACTCTCAGCAACGTTTTACTATTTACCATATGTTCTTGGATATATATCTTTCGTAAAAAAAAACTTTAATAAAAATAGTTTAAATTATTACATTAATGTTATTTATCATTATACAGTTAGTTATATAATTAATTATACCTATATCTATAATTCTCAAAATGTGTGCATGTCTGTCTGTGTGTTTGATCGGATGTTGTTTATAAATTTTTACAGTTTTCATCCGATTTCAATGATTTTTTTTTTGCTTGAGAGATAATTCGTCAGTGCCGATTTTGAGTCAAAATTGGCTGGAAAAAATTACAACCTTGAAGGTAAAAAATCGAAAAAACAGATTTTTTAAACATTTTGCGCAAAAATCAAAAGCAAAATTTAATGTCTGTGGAAAAAAAAAAAAAAACAACAACAACAAAAAAAACAGCGTCCAATCAATTTAGAGAGTTGTAATCTAACGTAAAAAATTATTAGAATTATAAAAAAAAAAATTATATTGTAAATAAAAATTATCGTATATTATTATTATTATTATTATTATTATGAGAGTCTCGGGAAGAGGATCCTTCCTTGAATGATTGAGAACGCAAAAACGGCCTTTTTGAGTGCCACCCCCAATTTAATTTCTTAAACCCCTCATTTAGGGATGTGCCTCAGTTGCACCCAATTGTTGTTACTAATATTGATTTTCGGGTGGGCTGATTTTAAATTTAAATTGCACCAACTGAACGGCAAAAATTCCCAGTAATGAAACACCCGTACGAAGGCGGGTAATCCTGCTAGTTCGTTAATAAAACTGATATTTTTCTTTGAGACCCGAAAATATCCTTTTTAAGTCTAAGCAACGCTTGTGCGTTTACTATCCGCCTCCCCCCCAGTCCCTGTTCTGCCTGCTGTTTACACAAGCCCGTTACATGTATTACACGATGTCCCATTTGCCAGCAGTATGTCCAGTAAATGTTCCGTCCACCGTATTCCCTGCGTCATTCTATAGAACCGCATCTTACTAGCATCTTTATAGCCAGTCAATGCCCTGCTCTCCATTAAAACAAGGTAGTTAGATTACCTTTTTTTTTTTTAAGCAATTCACCCCAAGTAAGGCGGGAGTGCCACTAGTATGCAAGGGACTACAGAGAGTGAAATTAAGGGAAAAGACTGAATAAAGGCCTGCGGTTGAGGAAAGGATAAAAAAAGAACGGTGGATCAAGGCAACAGAAGATGTTGATTGACGTTACATTTGAATATCTAAAGATTATAGTCATCAGGGAAGCGAGTAAGAGGAAGGGAATTGAAATCGAAATGTAGACCGCCATTTAATATAAATAGAAATATCATGCCACTAACTGGAGGGTCTCAATTACGTGATTGACTATTGTGTTAACCCAGACGTTAAAGTCGAGTGTCTCGCGTTTCAAGACGAATTAGCAGCTCTACGCAGTCGTGTATTAACTAATAAGTAATCAATAATCTTTCCGTTGACTCTTTACTTCTTTGTTGTTAATGTATTTTAATTGCGTTTGTTAATAAAAATGCTTCATTATTTTACATTAAAGTCTTTCTGTTATTACTTCTATTCTGTACGTGTGATGGATTATAAAAAAATTACTGCTGCATTTAAAAAAAAAACATGATTTTGATAAACCTGGTGTTTACTTAACTGTATCCAATAATAATGCATGTAATATTGACATATTAGTATCGTATTACAAAATAAAAACATAGCGAATATGCATCTTTTCCATTGTTTCCGTTTATAGGATGTTTAGCTGTTTCTCGTTCGGTTGTTTATGGCTGTACGCATTTACGCAACGAGTATAGCGTTACTAACGATACTTTTATCATTCTCATTTATTTTTTTAACTTATTTACATAGAAGATGAGATAAAGAGATAGAGGAAAAGAGGTCAGTCTATTGTAATTTGTTCTCTCAAAAGAGGAACTTGCATGTTACATGAGATGCATGATAAAATCCTTGACAAATACAGATACCATGCCACTGATGGTGGTTACAATTACGTGTTTCACTCTTGTGTTAACCCGGACGTTAAAGTCGAGTGTGTCGTGTTCAAAACGAATTAGTACTTTTCTTAGCAGGTCGCGTATTAACTGATAAGTAATCAATAATCTTTCCGATGAATCTTTACGTCTGTGTTGTTAATGGAATTTAATTGCGTTTGGTAATTAAATACTTTATTATTTTACATTGAAGTCTTTCTGTTATTATGTGACATGTGACGGCTTACAAACGTGTCCCAGAAATTTCTCTTATGTTTTTTTTTTTTTTGGATTCGCAGTAGAAAAACACTTTGTATTTTCATTTTCCTTAAACCTTCCTCGTGGTTGAAATGCTAGTCCATGACACTTTCAGCTTCCTCGTATAGAACCACGTCTCTCTAGCGTCTACCCTTCTTTATAGCCAGTGCGTGTCCTGCTGTACATTTACTCAAAATGGTTAGGTTACCTGCCGTTTCCACTGCCTCGCTTGCCTTTCAATATGTCCTGTGAGTGTCAAATTCTCCAAACTGTCTCTCCTTATTATGGGTCCCAGAAATCTATACTGCCTCTTCTTTTTGTTTTTTTTTATTCGAAGTGTAAGCGTCCATTTTAAATACTATTCATTCATTTATTGGGAACTTCTTTCTTTTACTTCTATGCGTTGTGTCAATTCAGAACGTGGGCGTTCGTGGCTCTCCACAACTTCCTATCCTTTGTTGCCTTCAGCAATAGTTGTCTATTTACTATTCCTCTTATTCTCTGCTCTGCTGTATATTTACACAATCTCGTAAGGTCGGTTATCTATCGCTTTCGATATGTCCTGTGAGTAACAAATTCGCCAAGCCCTCTTTTCTCGTTTTTAAGAATAAAATTTATTTTTTTCACACTTTATAATACTGCTGCTTCCTGGTTTGATTCAACAGACCATTAACCTTTTATGTATTATATATACATATATATATGAATTTTTTAGCGTATATATATATATATATATAACGTCATCCACAGACAGACTGTTTCGCAGCTCATCAGTGTGGCTAGACATCCGGTTGCCTCTAGCTAGGATCGAAACCCGACTGAATTGGTGTCAGTCGGAGATTCTAAGCCGTCATATATATATATATATATATATATATATATAACGGCTTAATGGTTAGAATCTCCGACTGACACTGATGAGCTGCGAAACAGTCTGTCTGTGGATGACGTTATATATATATATGACATTTTTGTACATTCTTTTTATAGATACAAATATTTAAGTAAATGCTCTGTTTTTCTTTTTATAATAAACAGAATGTCCGAGAAATTTTCATAGAAAATATGCGTCCTCCGACAGGAATCGAACCTGTATCCTATACGGAACCGTCATATAGCCTGACGTGCTCTTAACCAATCGAGCCACAGAGGATCGTTCGATTAGCAAGGTCGAATTTACTGCCTTTAAACTTCAATCTTCCATGAATCTTTCACGTACATTCTCTGAAAATTTCTCGGACATTCAGGCCGGTAAATGCTATTAATACTGTTTATTATAAAAAATAACAAACAAAAAAAACAAACAAAACAAAACAAAAAACAGAGCATTTACTTAAATATTTGTATCTATAAAAAGAATGTATAAACATAAAAATGTCTTAAAATAATTGTCGTACTTTGTCCATTTCATAATATATATATATATATATATATATATATATATATATATATATATATATATGTATGTATGTATGTATTTAAATAAAAAGAAAGAACAGTAAGATATATAATCCGGTGTTCTTATAGATATTTTTATTTTTACAAAATAGTGCTCAATGTAAATTTACAGAGCATTAATATTATAAATTAATTGATTTAAAAATTCGCTTGAGGATGAAATGTAACTAATGTCTTTAATTTAATTACAAAATTAAATTCGGGGCTTTTAGCTTCCATTTTTGAAACATGGTTAGAACTGTGTAGCGGAAAAAACATATTTTAAATCAATTAATTTATAATATATATATATATATATATATATGTGTGTGTGTGTGTGTGTGAGAGAGAGAGAGAGTGTGTGTGCGTGCGTGCGTGTGTGTGTGTGTGTGTGTACCTGTGTGTGTACCTGTGTGTGAGTAAGGAGGAATTCTTATGGTTAATTGAAGCAAAAAGGACGCTAATACTTAAAATCAGAAAGAGGCAGTTGAGATTTCTAGATCATATATTGAGGAAAGCGGGCTCGGAGAATTTGACACTCACTGGATATATTGACGGCAAGAAGAACCAGAGAGAAACGGCGAATAAGCTGCATAATGAACTTGTGCAACGAACAGGGAACGTGAGGGATAGTAAAAATCTAGACATTGTTATTTACTTCGTCGTAGTCGACGCCCGCTCGCATCCGAGCATGGTGGGGGGTCGTCAGCTTCTCTCCTTATTCCCTTGTTCTCCAATGATGGCGGAAATAGTTGTGACGATCCAACCTACTTCTGAAGAGTAGTCGACGAATCGGTTGACGAGTCCATTCGCGCGAATTTGATTTTGGTGGGCAACTCTACGCAACGGAGATGCCCACACATATTTGAGCAGAATCGCCTCTCTTACGGCTCAAAACTAACTGTTGTGGAGTATTTTCAGAGTGGAGGCTTGTATTTCAATAAGTCGTCCTAAATTAGGTCCGACGTACAAAACGTTAGGAAGTTGGGAAATAAGAGTCAATGGCGCAGCAAATCTAGTTGTGATGGTTGGTACTTCAAATGTCCGAATCTCGACTGTCGCGTTCAACACCATTCGGTATTTATCATTTCACCCACGGGAAACGAATATGGCACAAGGCCGGTTTTATTGTGGGTTTCTCCGAGCTCGTAGGCTCGGCCAAAAAATAGCCTTTTTGAAGCCGATTAGACGGGTTCAGGACCTGTCTACCTCCCCGGACGAAACCTTGCCCTTCGGCAAAGCCTCGTCCTGGTTCCTCTCTGCTAACGCAGAGAGTTCGACAGAAGGCGTGCGCAGTCAAAGACCGCTCAACACCATTCGGTATTTATCTTTCACCCACGGAAAAGAATATGGCACAAGGCCGGTTTTATGTGGGTTTCCCGAGCCCGTAGGCTCGGCCAAAAAAATAGCCTTTTGAAGCCGATTAGACGGGTTCAGGCCCTGTCCACCTCCCCGGACGAAACCTTGCCCTTCGGCAAAGCCTCGTCCGGGTTCCTCTCTGCTTACGCAGAGAGTTCGACAGGAGGCGTCCGCAGTCAAAGACCGCGAGATGCCATTCTGCCAGACTTGCCACTGCTACTCTTACTTATTATCTATGGGAGAGTCCATTACAATAGAATAGGTACTATGGCAAAACACTAACAAAAAAGGGTGGGAAAGTAGTGGAGAGCCATAATTTTGGATGTCCTTAAGGGATACGTCACATAGAAGTAAAGAAAGAGAGAAAAAAAAAAGATGTGGATATTTTCAAAAAGAAGTCTGCCTTTCATTGATAGCTGCTTTACTGATATGGCTACAGAGACCAATTTCTTGGCATCGTTTACACGCTGAATTGTAGCTGTATTATCTACTTCTCGGCCGCTGTACGTTAAGTTCCCTCCCCGCAAGGTCATGAGTCTGTTTTTGAAGCAAGTCTAAAGAAGGAAACGGTGTGATATGATCCGCGGTGTATCCCACACCTCAGTAAACATGGACGTTTGAAAATGTTCATAAAACACCGATTGCGAACGGCTAAATCATAGCCGGCTAATTTGATCCTAACCTTTCAGAAATCTATGTGCCTATACACACAAACTTGTTTTCTAAAGTCGACACTTGTATTCTCATCCGGACAAATACTTCGCCTAGGGGACTGAAAGATGAAGAGAGGTTGAACGCATGCGCGAACAAATTACTTCCGCCTAAGCCTGCTCATTCACTCCTGACTCCACGTGTTCGGTAGTTTAATTCCTGAATGGGCGGAAGAACCTCTTGGCGACGAAGCATAATGGCTGACTGTGACATGGAAGATGCGTTTGCTGGGCGCTCCAGCACAAGTACTCTAAGAAGGTTGATATTCTCACATTTGGAATATCATTCTTTAAAAAAAAAAAAAAAAAAATTTCCCGCCCAAGAATGAGAAACTGGAAAACTGAGTTCGAATTCTGGCCAAGATTCCTTTTCGCACAAATAAACTTGGAAACGGTATGGATCCATCTTTTCCAGCTAATTTTCATGGAGGTGTTTCTTTCAGATGGTACTGCTATATGTCAATAAGGATACACTTCATGAATTTCTTGTTTTTTTTTTGTTCTTTTTTTTACGATTATAAGTCTTTTGGCTTTTATTTCCGTGACAGTTTGAATTGTAATGTCCGAAAGGATAGTTACATCGTTATTTTGGGTAACTGTGTCTACTTGTTGCTTATAACATCTTTCAGTGGCTTCGATTTTGTGCTTCTGGAAGATATGCAAGAATCACAATCTATCTATCTATCTATCTATCTATCTATCTATCTATCTATCTATCATTTTCTATTCACCTCTCTCTGTCTATAATTGTCCATCTCTCTTTCTCCCGTTTCTCTATTCTATCTATCTATCTATCTATCTATCTATCTATCTATCTATCTATCTATCTCATTCTGTTCATATCTATCACAGTCTGTCTATTATCTGTCTATGCTTGTTCAACACTCTCTCCCTACTATCTATCTATCTATCTATCTATCTATCTATCTATCTATCTATCTATCTATCATTGTCTTTGCATCACCCACTGTCTCTGATTCGCCATCTTTTTTTCTCCTTCTCTCTATCTTTGTATGTTCATATCTATCTATCTATCTATCTATCTATCTATCTATCTATCTATTTATCTATCTATTCCAGTCTGTTCATATATATACCAGTCTGTTCCTATCTATCTATCTATCTATCTATCTATCTATCTATCTATCAGCCAGAATTGAATTATCGTCGAAGGTGTGTGTTTATAAGCAGTAATTTGGACTTTGCTAACCGGCAAGTTCTCTGTGGCTGAGTGGTTAAAGAGCACGTCAGGCCAAATGATGATTTACGGGATACAGGTTCGATTCCTTCCGAAGGACGCATATTTTCTACAAAATGTCTCGAACATTCAGGCTGGTAAATGTAATTAATGCTGTTTAATTAAAACAGAGCAATTCCTTAAATGAGTTGTATCCATAAACATATATATATATATATATATATATATATATATATATTAAAGTCAACACTGACAGGCGACAGGATGTTTCATGCTAGACGCAATCGTCAGGTCTTATAAGTTGACGTAAGGTGATATAGAGAGAGGGGGAGGAGAAGTATGACAGATTTTTTTTAAGCATTTCACCTCAAGCAAGGCGGGAAGCCACGAGGACGCAAGGGGTTACAGAGGATTTGGAGCAAGATCAGATAAGAGTGATAGAGGAAAGGATGAGGAGAAGGATAGTGGATAGATCAAAGCAAATGGAGATGTCGATTTTACATTTGAATAATTGGAGATTATAGCTATCAGGAAAACTGGAATAGGGAAGGGTGTTCCACAGGCGAGAGGTGCGAGATATGAAGCTATTGGCGTAGAAGAGGCGGCTACATTTAACAGTTTCAACATTGAAAGGGTGAGAGCGGGATGCCAGCCTCGTAGGGCGCTTGAATTCATGAAGTCTGGGAACCAGTGAAAGCAACTCATCGGAGCAATTACCATGAAAGTATTTGTAAAAAAAGACAGAGGGAGGCGACGGCACGTCTGTGAGAGAGCGACTGTTGACGAGATGCCAGATCAGGGCCAATTATATTGCATATCCGCCTCTGGAGCCTATCAAGAACCCCGAGACAAACAGAAGGGGCTCCAGACCATATATGGCAGCAATATTCCATGCAAGGGTGAATTGTTGATTTGTAGATCTGGAGGATCGATTCTGGGAGAAAAAATTTCCTGGCGCGGCATAGGAAGCCAACTTTCCCTGCGGTGGACGAAGCAATTGACTTAATGTATTTGTTCCATCTCAGGTCAGCAGTCAACGTGAGACCGAGCAGACGCAGAGAGGTGCTCTCGGGAAGTTGAGCGTCAGACATGGTCGAAATTAGAGAGGGAAGGAATATATATATATACACACACACACACACACACACACACACACACACACACACACACACAGACAGACACAGAGAGAGAGAGAGATTAATTTTAACGGAAATCATTGGAAATGGTTAGGATATTAGTCGAAAGAGCTCGAAATGAATAATCGTTTCGACAGTTTCTGCAAACACCAAGTTCCAAAAAGATATCTCTTGTTTGTTCAAATACCAGAAAAATACAATTAAATCTTAACAGAAGGACTCAGGCATACTTTTTAAATGAAACATGTATTCGAGAATGTTTGCTTTAAACGCACAACTATTAGATAGATAGATAGATATGAACAATCAGAGATAAAGATAGAAAGAAAAAGTGAGAGACAGTCAGGCATTAATCGACATATTTATTACACTGATCTCACTCCCTCTTTGTATATATATATATATATATATATATATATATATATATATGTGTGTGTGTGTGTGTGTGTGTGTGTGTGTGTGTGTGTGTGTGTGTCTGCGTGTGTGTGTGTTTGTATTAAAAGCTGTGACAAGATAAAGAAAGGTACCAAAATATTTACTTGGAGGCGGACGAATCTAAAGGAAAATAAAAGGAGCCGAAAAGAATTCATTTATTTTTCAAAGAATCCTCAGATTCCAAAGTAAGAATTCTTTTCAGGCACAGTTCCAAAAACTGGTGAGGAACATGGAGTTTTCAAACAACTGCCACCGTTTGATTGAACGTAAAATAAGTGCATGCATTATCTATCTATCTATCTATCTATCTATCTATCTATCTCTCTTTTTCTATCTATCTATCTATCTATCTATCTATCTATCTATCTATCTATCTATCTATCTATCTCAGTCTCTTCTTTATCTATCTATCTATCTATCTATCTATCTATCTATCTATCTATCGTTTTCATCATATGAAGCTATCTTAATCATTTTTTACCTTTGTTCATATCGCTTCCAATTCACTGTTTCAGTAAAGAATAGCATCGTTTCAAGATAAAAAAACAGATACAAATGTAATTCAATTTATTTTTTTTCAATCAATAGCATAATCCTTATCTTTACTAATTACATTAACAGAAAATACATTTTAGTTTGTTCAACACTCACCACTAAAACACCGTGTGTGTGTGTTTGTTTTTGTTTTTTTTTTACTCCCCAAAATTAGAACTAATGCAATGTGGGATAATCAAAATAAAGGTAACATCGAGAAAAGCTGAATTTGATATGCTAAATTTAAAAAAATTGACACATCAAAACTTAGCTTTAGATGCTGAACGTCTCTATCTCTTTGACGTTTCGATGTAAACTGTAACCTTTTTTTTATTATATTTCTTTTCATAATTGACCCACTCATGAATTTATATGCATACATATTTTAGAAAATGGATTAAATCCGGCATAGTATTGTTTTAATTTATTTTGTTTAATTGTTATTTCTGATGGATAAACATTTTTGAGTCGAAGCTTTACTTTGTAATTAAACAATATTTTTTTAGCTACATCTAGCCCCAAATATATGTATATATATATATATACTAATATTTCAAAAACCGTCCAATCAATTCACACAAAAGTTTCACACAATGCTGACCTGCGCAATCACTGAAATTTTCGTACTGATCTGCGCAATGTAAACAAACTGGCGCCATATTTGTTATCAGCACGATGATTTGAGCGTGCCAAATTATTTGAAAAGTGTAAGAATTTAGTGAAAAGATGGGCCGTAAAAGCAGTTTAAGTGATGCTGAAAAGAAAACTATCACCTCAGAACTCTCAAAAGGTAAATCTACCCTAGAAATTTCTAAAATGATAGGGAGGTGTCATCAAACACTGAAAAAGTTCACCTCCGACCCTACACAAGTACGCAAAAGGGCAGATAAAGGCAAGCCGAGGGTTATTTCACGTCGTCTCATGTCACGACTTAAACGAGAGGCCACGAAGAACCCTGGACTCACCAATCAAGAGCTTTTCAGTCGCATTGGGGATCCTACTGTGTCTAAAAGTACTCGGTGTCGGTATCTGAGGGAAATAGCAACAACAGTCAAACCTGTATCGAAGCCTCCGTTGACGAGAAAGTACATCCGAAATCGATTGAAATGGGCCGATGACAATATGAAGATTGACTTCTCTAAAGTTTTGTTCACAGACAAAACTCGAGCAACACTTGATGGGCCAGATAGTTGGTGCAAAGGCTGGGTAATGAACGGACAGAATCGCCATCAGCGTTTGAGACGCCAACAAGGCGGTGGAGGCATAATGATCTGGGGTGGTATTATTGGAAAAACATTAGTGGGCCCTTGGAGAGTACCAGATGGCGTCAAATTGACTGCTAATGCATACATAGCGTTTATGAAGGAGCATCTTGAACCGTGGATGAAAAGGCAAAGAGTTGCCTTCAGAAGGGCCATTGTTTTTATGCAAGATAATGCTCCCTCACATGCTGCTCACAAGACTACTGAATATTTGAAACAGTTAGGCTTCGATGGACCTCGAAAAATGAAGTGGCCAGCAAATTCTCCGGAATTGAACCCAATCGAAAACCTTTGGAGTATCATGAAGCGAAGACTGTACACCAACGGACGACAATTCAGGAGCAACGCTGAGTTGTGGGAAGCAATTCTTGACATATCTCGCGGCATTACAGCAGATGACATCCTACAATTAACAAATTCTATGGATCGTCGGCTTCTCCAAGTAATTTAAAAACAGGGAAAGTACATTCCCTATTAATTTGTTTAAAACTGTGCCTTTGTTTGTATCTGTTATTATTTGTTTGATTACCTTATTTATTAACTTCTTTTGATCATAAACATTCACGTGCAGCATTAATAAACGTTTTGTTTGCTCAATTCTGGGAATTTGACTAAACCTTTCTAATAATTTGGCACGCTCAAATCACCGTGCTGATAACAAATATGGCGCCAGTTTGTTTACATTGCGCAAATCAGTACGAAAATTTCAGTGATTGCACAGATCAACGTTGCCAACATTGTGTGAAAATTTTGTGGGAATTGATTGGACGGTTTTTGAAATATTAGAAAAAAAGATAATAATTTGGCACTCAGTGTTTATATATATATTCAGGCCGGTAGTTGTAGTTGGAGTGAAAATAGTGTTTAAGTAAAAAAAAACAAAAACAATAAAACAAAAAAACAAAAAGAAAAAATATGAGTATCCATGAAAATAATGTTAATATATATATATATATATATATATATATATATATATATAAATGTCAATAGGAAACCTAATACTTGCCGACGTGTTTCGTCCAATGTGGACCTTTTTCAAGGCAAAAAAGAAATGCATTTATTTAAATAAAGTAACTAATAATAACAAAAACAAAATGTCCTTAGGAACTGGAAGAATTTAGAGAACGCTATTTTCATACTGTTAACTGAAAATTACGTCAATTACTGTCACATGTGGAGATATTGTTTTTATTGTTGTGTTGCCGGATACAGCCATTTTCTTTTGATTTCACGATACTGTTATGTACGTTTGTTTCTACAGGTTAACTCTGAGAAATTTTCATATATATATATATATATATATATATATATATATATATATATATATATAAAACTCAATATATAAAAGTGCGTATAAAAAAGAAAAAAATCGGTTAGTAGATACCCTTGATGAGTTCACAGAGTAATTTCCGGAGAGCCCGTCTAAGAAACTCTGGATGCTGAAGGTAACATTAAACAGCTAAATGACAAACCATTTACTTGTATTAATTCTCTTTCTCTCTCCATTTCTCTCCCCCTCTCTCTCTCTCTCTCTCTCTCTCTCTCTCTCTCTCTCTCTCTCTATATATATATATATATATATATATATATATATATATATATATTTATAAACGAAATGGATAATTAAAGTCTCTGACTTCTTATTACCATTATAATGTTATCCCTTCCAATCACAAACTGGTAAGACGTATATCTATCTATCTATCTATCTATCTATCTATCTATCTATCTATCTATCTAAATATTTGGGATGGGGAACTTCACAAAATTTATATTCGAACTATTGTCCCCATCTTTATTGTTATCGCAACATTTAGGGCGTAACGTTGGTATAAAAGCAACGAAGATGAGGACAATAGTCCGAATGCAAATATATATATACATATATATATATATATATATATGTCTTAAAATAATTGTCGGACTTTGTCCATTTCATAATATATATATATATATATATATATATGGAGAGTGAGAGAGATTGTATATATATATATATCAAGCGTGAGAGAAAGACTGTATATATATATATATACAAATATATAAATATAAATATATATAGATTGTGCACAAACACAAACACACACATATATATATATATGTAAAGTGAGGTGAGAAATCATATATATATATATATATATATATATATATATATATATATATATTGATCCCATCTATAAGAAACTGGATTTGTCTGAAGAAGTTCCTTGTCGAAACGAAACGCAATGCTACACTGTTTTACTTTTTGTCAATATTTTTGCTTATGATACATTTTAGACTAGCGTGTCCCAATCGGTGTGACCAGGCCCCTGATGAACTCTTAAAGGTACCTAGGTGCGCCCCAAGTTCACAGAAGAGTCATTTATAAAAAAAATTTATACTTAAAAAAAAAACAATCTTTAATTTTAAAAAATTAGAAAAAACCGAAAACATGGCTTCCATGTCTACTTCACGTCTTTGTCATTTTGATATTTTAAACTGGCTGCTAAATTCCTTATTCTTTAGTCCTTTGCCTTTTGCCTCCCTCAAGGGATTTAAATCAGTCGTTATCAGCCTCTCTAAGAACAAATAGTAGATTCAACATAATTCTCTTTAAATGGAAACTATACCATTAATCATCATTTCGAATGCTCAGCCAGAATTTCATGTTTTCAAATTTCATGACTAATTTTTTTTATTATTGGATTTTAAAACGTGTCCCAGAGTTTCAGCTATTCTACGAGTACACACTGAATCAAAAGAAATGTTTGGGAAGCACCATTTCAGATAGTAGTAAAAGCAGACGATAATTTTCAGTTGCAATTCTTTTTCTTTCCATTTTTGATCAAAGTCTCATTGAAGACTTTTCTTTCTTCTGTACTTCGTCTTCCAGTAAGAAAGAAAAAAAAAATCTTTCGTCTATTTTTACACGAGCATTATAAACAGAGCATTTACTTAAAAATTTGTATCTATAAAAATAACGTATAAACATAAAGATGTCTTAAAAATAATAGTCTGACGTCATTTGTTTACAGTTGGATACGTATCGAGCAGATATGAATGTACGAGAGAAAATCAAAGAGAATTGTAAGTTTAAAAACAGTAAAATCGACCTTGCTAACCAAAACGCTCCTCTGTGGCTCAATCGGTAAAAGCACGTCAGGCTATATGACGGTTCCGTGTAGGATACAGGTTCGATTCCTGTCGGAGGACGCATATTTTCTATGAAAATTTTCGGACATTCAGGCCGGTAAATGTCATTAATACTGTTTATTATAAAGAGTGCATTTACTTTAATATTTATAAAAAAGAAGGTATAAACAATATATATATATATATATATAAAAATAGGCAGACGACGTGGTGTAATGGTTAGAAAGCTTATCTTGCTCGATCAGTTACTAATGAGTTCGATCCTTGTGCCACATCTAAGCCGCGCTTTGAAATAAGTATATATGTGGTGTATCAAAAATACTTTTACAAAATTTGGGGGTCGGTCTCTTACTCCAAAACAAAGACAAAAGTACATATAAACTTATGTCTGCAAATACTCCGTTTCTGAGTTATTAAGCTGAAAGTGACTTTGAGGTAGTGTTATCATGTAGACTTGGTTACATTTGTCATTCGTGTAAATTTATGGCTAGTATGTCTTTAACGTTTAACGCGTGTAGTAGTGACATAACTGAGAAGTGTTGGTTTAACAGTCGTAGGATTCCGTTAGCAGACACATATGATTTGTACATACGACCGAGTGAATGGTAATGAACGCGAGGCAGCATGGCTGTATCAGATGGCGTTTCCAGAGCGAAGTCTTCCAACCTTTGCTGGTGTTTACCGTCGCGTTGCAGAGAAAGGTTCCGGGGCACCACAAATTATGGGTCGAGGAAGACTGAGATCCATTCGTGCTCCTGATCACAAAGAATGCATTCTACATGTACAACGATGGCCTTTTGGACATATGTTTCTATGGACATTTTACATTGTTTTGGTGTCAAGAATCCGCCCCTAAGGTTTGTAAGTGTATTTTTGATACGCCATATATATATATATATATATATATATAGATAGATAGATACATAGATAGATAGATAGGTATGTCTCATTGGAGAATTTAGACAAGGTTTGTCTACTTATTTTCGATAGAAAATCCTCTCATATTCAGGGACATGCTTCTAAGTATCCTTATTAAGGGAAGATAGAAAATTACCATATTGATTTCAAGTAGTTTCGACATTAGCACAATGTTATCATCAGGATGTTGTCTTTTTTTTCTAAGAGAAAATTGTTGTGTTCATCTGAAATCAATTTGTTTTAATTTTGAAGTGAAAAACGCTGACGCTATGTACTGTTAGGTTTAGATTTCACAGAGAAGTAACCAAGTTTGAAATGTTTATATGTTTCTTAAAAATAATGTGCGGATACTATTGTAATTAAGTAGACAAAATTAAAAACTAAATCTATTCAATGAGACATGTCTTAATGAAAACATGGTACCAAAATATAAGTAATTCATATTCATATATATATATATATATATATATATATATATATATATATATATGTGTGTGTGTGTGTGTGTGTGTGTGTGTGTGTGTGTGTATATTTCTCTTTTAGGCATGTCTGTTTGAATAAATTACAAATATTAAATGTGCTTATTTTGACCATATCCTGTCATATTCCCGAATAATTTTCCGTATATTACAATTAAATAAGAAAAATTTAAAATTTAATTGTAATATACGGAAAAATAATCGTGAATATAAAAGGATTATGATCAAAATAAGCAAATATACTGTTTAGAATTTATTCAATCAATGCCTAAAGAGAATTTGCTGCGAACACACACACACACACACACACACACATATATATATATATATATATATATATATATATATAGAGAGAGAGAGAGATAGAGAGATAGATAGATAGATAACAAAGATTGTGTTTCACAATAAAAAGTCGGCTATGGTTATTCATTCTGGGAGATAAAGTTTTTATGGCAAGCAGTTTTTCTTAAAGCACTCAATCTGTTGTTTACTGAAGCAAAAAGTGGTTTGTTAATTTTCAGGCCTCCAAAACCGAACCTACATATTATTAATCATATTAAAGAATCTTTTTCGACTCACATCAGCATGGCTGATGCTAACCTCCAATGGAGCAACTCACTGAACTTTCTAGGTCTCCCGTTTTCACCTGACGATTCTATTGAAACAATCATATTGGAATTGTCATATTGAATTAGTTACTAGGTCATGCTTATCAATTTTTTCATATTTATAAGTCTATCCATTCGTTCGTGCATCGAATATTGCTGCCACATTTGGTCCGATGTTTCTGCTATATATCTAAAGATTCTTTGTATAAATCCAGAGCAGAATCTGCAATGTTATCGGTTCTGACCTGGGAACTCGGCTTCAGTACTTCCCCGCCACTGTAGAATTACCCCCCCCCCACAAAAAAAACCACACCTGTATCT